CAGAGTTAATTAAAAATTCTGCTATACTATTATATATATATATATATATGAGGGTTGGAACTTTAATAGTGGCAACTATTTATTTATAACTGATACAAAATAGACGCATGTTTCGAAGTTTTACAGTCCTTCAATGTGGCCACCAGCATTGTGTACAACCTGCTGCCAGCGATGTGAAGCTGCAGGACACCTTTAGCAGCGCCTGTTGTGTTGATAGTTTGAGTGGAGCGGTCTACTGCCTGAAGAATCTCTGGAACAGTTCTGAAGCGAATGCCACGAAGTGGTTCCTTCTTCTTAGGAATCAAAGTCACAAGGGCTTAGGTCCAGGGAGTATGGTGGATGGTACAGCACTTCCCAGCCCCATCGATCAAACAAATCCGCCACAGCTTGCGCTGCATGTGGCCAAGCACTGTCCTACAAAATGACAGGCGAGTTCTGCAGAGAGTGTTGCCGCTTCTTTTTCAAAGCTGGTCGCAGGTTGTTTCAAAAATGAACAGTAATACTGTACATTGATGGTTTGCTGTCGGGAAACGGTATGTGTTAGGATAACACCATCACAGTTGTATACAAGAATCACCATAACTTTCAGATTGCTGGGGTTCTGACGTACTTTTGATTTTTGTTGTGGTTCCACCTTGCCACTGTTCTGTAAGGAAATGCAGATTCCCCGCAAGCCTCTTGAAGACCTTGATGACACTGTCGTGCTGTATGGCCTCTGGCACATTCAATTTTTATTCAACTCCGTTGTTCTTGTTTCGAAAACATCGTGACAACACACAACATGTTAGACTGCCAGCTAACACGAGGTTCTGTTCTTCTCGTCACTGCGCATGCGCGTGATATGGGAAGGGAGAATCCATGTGTTCTGAGTTAAGGTAGGTATGCAACTAATGTGTGGTATAAGCGATATTATTTGGTTCTTTTGCATGGCGTCTCTACAGCAGTGTTGCCACTATTAAAGTTCCAACCCTCATATCTTATATAAATAAAAATGTAAATGTTGTTTTGCTACCCTTCGAAGATCTCCAAAAGTTCTTCACCGATTGCTTTGAAATTTTGATACAACGTTGCATTCGAATACGCGCGTTTTTATGTACCTTTTATATAGATGTCACACCTGTGACAGGTAAAACAGGTAAAAAGATGCGTCTTTTGAAAAACATCGCCATCTGTTTTAACGTGTTTGGAATTCAGAAGAGTCGCTTCTATGGAAATGCTAGAACAGACCGTTGCATAGGAATTGCCGAAACATCAAATGCGTTTCCCCGGAGATGAGAGGATAAGAGGTTCCATTCCGTAACAATGGATGAAACCAAACACTTGTACAAGGTGTTCTGTGCTAGCATTTCCTAAGCAACAGATGAAACAGATCATTGCATAGGAATTGCTGAAACAACAAACGCATTTCCCCAGGGATGAGAGGCTAAGAGGTTCCATTGCGTAACAACGGATGAAACCAAACACTTCTACAAGGTGTTCTGTGCTAGCATTTCCTAAGCAACAGATCAAACTAACTCTTCGATAAGGTATTCCCCATCCCGTCCAACCTCTGGCTATATGTATAAGAGAGTGTAGCTCCGGCAACTGTTCAGTATCACGAGGTCACAAGTATCACAAGAGATTCTGAGTGTAATCACAGCAAAGATCCTGAGTTTGAACTCAGGTTTGGATTCGACTCTGGCAGTGTTTCCCCGGTGATAGACAACAGAAGGCTCATTGTATAGCATCTGCCGAGGTATCAATAGTCCACCTGGGACAAGAAGCAGTCAGTCTCGGGCCAGATGCCTAGGGATACGGAAGAGAGTCTGGAGGTATCCTCCGAAGGGGTCTGTCTTGGGATAGCCACCGCCAAATATAAAGAGTTTCGATTTATTTTCATTTTGATTCAATTATTTCGTGTGATACTGCGTTGGAATTGGGCTCTGTCGTTTACCATAGCGTTTATTTCGTGAGTATTGTTTATTTTTCATTGTTTTCCATTTCGTTTTCTTAACTGTTTTCCTTATTTTCCGGTGCATTTGGTGGTGGGATTGAGCTGTGTCGATTGATCTGCATTTGAATTGAAATATTTGGTCAGTATTTTTATTTTTTTGTTTCTTCTTTGTTTTCCAGTTTGTGTTCTTTCCTTTTTAATGTTTTGCAATTTCATATGTTTTTGTTATAACTTTCTTTCTTCTTCCTCAGTGCAATCGTTCTTCTTTACTTCATCCAAATAATGCCTCGCAGAAGAACAAGCTTAGGTCGTCATACTTGCGGAGCGGAAGCAATGCGTCGAGTAATTTAAAAAAAAACTGGGAAAGAACGGGCAGACTGAGCCACAGCAAGGCGTGGCCGGGCACAGCTAGAATAACATATAAACTAACGATAATTCAAGATGGAAGTAGCTGAAGTACCAGATATTTCAGTAAACAAAATGAGAAGCAGGAGATGGAAACTTTCACACCACAATGACTGTACTGCTAATATCAGATATTATAAAAAACACAATGTTTCAGAAACTTGATGTGTCCACCCTCATGTGAATGGGTCGGAGGCATCTGTTGGGTCCATTAGAATTATCATAACCATGAGCAATTCACTAATGCAGTTAATTCCTTTTGTAACAAATTTCTGTTGTATTTAGAAAAATGGAGTAGCAGCTGAAAATTACTGCAAGAAATTCGTTTGTCCTGAAGTACAAGTACAAAGAAACTGCTCAGGAGTGGGATCCCAGATCCAACAGAGACATACAGCAATAACTACACATTAGGAGGCTACAAACTCCATCAAAGAATACTCACAGTGCCCGAAAAACTATGAACTCTGAATTTCATTCCTTGTAAGTTTCACTTTATGAGCATACAACATGAAGGCACAACACTCCTACAAATCACAAAAATAATTCATGCATCATTTGTGCTTTCCCTGCCTCATCTACATGGATATGCAGCATAGCACTTTAAATATTAAGATGACATAACAATTAGCTTTCTCTTCATATTTTAGTACGTTATAAAATGTTGGTACCAGGACTGACATATGCGAGCAGGATAAATTTTATTTATGTATCTTAAAATCATAATTCAGGCACTTCATTCTGTGTGTCAGTCCACTTCTCAAGAAGCTGATAGTCACCTGACTGTTCAAGAAATTCACCACCAAGCATAAAATCCTAAGGTTCATAACTGTGTTTACTAGGTCCCTTGCTCCTTATTCTGAGACTGATGAATCCACTCTATGTTCTGACACCATATCTGTTCAACATACAATTTTATACCATCCTTTAATCTCTGCACTACATAAAAATTAACAAGAAAGTTAAACAAAATAACATTAAAAAAAATGTTCAGGTAAAAAAGGTAACGCTATCCCTGTAACAGGTTGTGGTGTCTCAGTGGGTTGTGAGAGGTTGAGGCTCCCACATTTTCTAGACAACTGGCTCACAGATTGGGGTAAGGTTGTCAGCCTTATGTGCCAGCCACCATGTACTCCCAAGAAGATTCCTGGTCTGTTACAGGCTGAGTCAACCCCAGGGCCACAGTGCAGCTGGAAGGATTAGGTCAATTGCAAAATCTAGCGACACCAGGAATCGAATCTGCAACCTCTTGGCTTGTAGCATAGTGCATCAACCAACTACACTACCACATGCCCCTGAGATTAACAAATACAGAACTATAACTTTACCTGTTGTTCTGTATGGGTGTGAAATCCTGCTTGTAGAATTAAAAGGATGAACAGACCAAATGTTTGAGAACAAGGTGCTGAGGAGAATATCTGGACCTATGAAGAAGGTAGTAACACAGAGCTAGAGAAACTTATACAAAGATGTACTTCATTATTTGTACTCTTAGATAAACATTATAATGATCAGGATGAGAGGAGTGGAGCCTGGTCAGAAAAAACTCCAGGGAAGACACCACTTGCTATACCCTGGCACAGTCAATGTTAATGAAGCAGGAAGCGAGGGTGTGAAATGAATTTTGGCTCATGAAAGGGACAAGAGGCAGGTTTTCGTAAACACAGTAATTAATAAATCTTCAGATTCCACAGACTGTGGGAAGATTCCTGGCTAGATGAATGACTATAAGCTTCTCAAGAATGACTCAGCTCCACAGAGCCAGCTGGCCCTATGTAGGTCCAATTCAGACATACCTGTGCTCACTGCTCTAGGGACAGGAGTGTGAGGCAGCCAAGTCAACACTGCTCTGTGATACTCCGGTCTTGGATCCAGGACTATATCTTCAGCAGTCTATAAAAAATTAAAATATACAAACTGCAACCTTCAATACTGAAGTTTTTCAAACAGACTCAGAAGAGAAAGTAAAAAATTAATGGAACTTTTGCTATATTTGAAAATTTATGTTGGCGGTAATGGAAAAGACTGTAGGAGCACACCATTTGTTTAGAGGCACAACAGCACAAAAGCTGGCTCATATAGCACTGTTCTGTTTTTGTGCAGCCAAGTTAGATATATTATTATGAGTATTCAAAAGAAAATGTAAATCAACTATGTACAACTGTGAAAAGACACATAACGTTTAGGCCTGTAAAGACTGTGGATGTAGGCCTAACAATGTGACCCTTCTCTCTTTGCATCTATCTTGGTTTCAGTTTCTCCTGCACAGTCTTAGCATCAGTTGCGCAAAAACAGAACAATGCTGAATGATCAGTTTTTGTGTAAAAACGAAATTTACAGAAGAAAAATCATTCAGTATGGGAATAACTGTATGATCCAAACATGAGTTTACAAATGGGTGGAAAGTTACAACAATGGATCGGTAAACACATTCACTCCGCAACGAATATGCACATAACAATAAAGTTACTGTCGGAAACGGTGTTCTCTACTTGGTACATGCAAAAGGGTTACAGAAAAGACAACTTGGGCGACTCAATTGAGAGGTGAGGCTGAGAAGAGATGGTGCTATAGTTCAGTTATGGGATATTTGCTGGATGGTAATGATGCAAGTACAGAAGCTGAAGAATCTCCATTGTTGAGAGCTGTTACCAAGCAACAACTAAAGAAGACACTGCAGGCTGGAAAAGACTTAGCATGTAGTGATTTGTAAATCAGTGAGAGTGTTATAGTTAGGGCCCGGATTTCTATGACATGTCATATTTTTTTCCTAGGGTTTATTCCTATTTCTAAATGTAATTATGCATGTTTCCAGTTATTCTTATTGAAATTATGTCATTTTTATTGTGCGTATAAATGCATATTTTACAGTTTTATTCGTTTTACAGCATATTTTGGCATAATTTTGAAATAAGGTCATATTTTTGTCATTTTAGAAACAATTCTTTGATATAATGTAAAATTTCGGCTCCATAATGTTTAGTATTACAAAATAAATCAGGCTGGACTGTTGCTTCAATGTGGAATAGAGTTCAACTACATGAATTTCGTATTAAAAACCGTATTTTTGACTGGACTGTACTTGCAGTTACAAAGGCGAAAATTTGTGAAATGCAGCATTTATGACCTGGCAAGTCGGCCTTTCCCAGTCGAGGCAGGACGGAGGCAAGTTTAACGGGTATTCTCCTTTTGTACTGCGTCTTACTATAAGGGATATACATCCCATTCTTTCTTGGAGGGCTCAGTAGTATTCTATTTATATATGTGGAGGGCGTTATAAGACTTCAGTTTGACTTTACAATGCCTAAAGTGAGTACATGTAGTTCAAGGAGCGCAAAGTTGCGTAGTTTTGTACAGGAGTTTGGTGAAAAAGTGTTTAGTACCGATGGCAAGATATTTTATTGTAGGTTGTGTGGCGTGAAAGTTACGGCAGAAAAGCGATTTACTGTGCAGCAGCATTGTAAAACTTTTAAACATGGTAAATGTTCAAGCAGATTATCTACAAAGGATAGCAGACAAAGTTTGTTGTTTAAAAACAGTTCCACTAATTCTTCTTGTTCTTCTTCTTCACCTTCACCTTCTTCAACGAACAATGGGTCGGAATTTTCGAAGGATTTGTGTCAGTGGATGGTATCTTCGAATATTCCATTAGAGAAATTGCATA